TACACTACTCAAAACGGACTTCTTAAAATCATAGTTCTTTCTAATGTTGTAACTACAACCCTTTATTCATCAAATAGAGGTTAATATACGACCTTTAAATAAGATGACAATTAAAAAAAAATGAAATAAAAGACCTAAGAACAAGCGAGGAAGATTTTTAACCCCCAACAACACGTTTGATGGGATCAATTTGTAATGTCTCTAATGAACGCAATGATAATTTCAAATTTAAATGGCCTTAAACATCAATCAGTGAGTCCAGATCAAGTTTAAACGAAAATTTAAATTGAAGAAACAAAACCACTTTCTTACAAATTTAAATGGCCTAGCAGCCTCACAGTGAAGCAATAAATCATCAACTGAATACAACTTTCTTACACGTACACACCAAATTAGGAAGAAAAAACACCCTCCTTCCCAAGCTGTCTACATTGAGAATAAAGTCCAATGCTGCCATTCACCTAAAGAAAGCAATCTTTGTACGGACTCCTAATTCAAATAGGCCAGCCATGAAAAAACTCTAGCTAAACTACCACACACACACACAAAAAAAAAAAAAGAAGGATATTATGATTTAACAATAATCCTCTCTCCTCTACCGCAATCAGTTATCAAAATAGTAAAATCTAGCAATTTTCAACTTGTGAAAATTTACTTAGCCAAACTCCTAAACTAAAACTTAAATGTCACCACAATAATATGCATCTTTACTAACTTATCTTGTTGGTAATATATCAACTTCTTAAAGGCACGCATGCTTTCAGCTATTTTTTCCTTTATCTTGTGGTGAGAAAATGCAAATTATAAAAGTAGCATAAAATTTTATGCAAACAACAAATATATGAATAAAGAAAACTATTTATATGAATTCTATAAAAACAGTTCTTTTACTAACCTTTAGACATAACAACCAAGGAACTCCCATTAACAGCACCAGCGATCGAGCTAATGTAGTAATTCTTTTCCCACTGTTCCATAATCCAGTCCTGATGAGAAACAAAAAATTGGAAGTGAGTATGAACATACAACAATTAAACACACACATAATAGCATCAAAACATCTGAAAAATGACCTTATGAAGGAACACAGCTGAGAGTTCATAGACCTGGGAACAGAAACCTGTTCCCGCATCCATAATTACAGCCCAAAGATTTGTTGCAGAAGCCACACAGCTAATATATAATCCATCTTCATTACCCTTCTCCACATGCTGGCGCAGCCTTGAATCAGCAACATTGTAATGATATCTGCAAATCCAATAGACAGAATATTAGCTCATCGTAAGCAAAAGAAATATTTTAGTTACAAGCATGTGATTTAGGAGGTTGATGGGAATAAATTCTCAGAGCCTGTTTTGAAACTTCATTTTGAAGATTACTTCTAGGAAACCATCAGTTAATAATCTAAAGAAAATTACTTTTATCCAAAAACGATGGCTTCCAACCATTTTCAATAGGATTGTCACAATTTTAGTTTCCAAGAAGCCAGCACTAGACTGGGGCCCCCCTTAAAGATATTATGTATGTTTTAGATCTTCATGTTGAGAAGGCATTAACTTGATTTGAGTGTCCAAAACCACATATCCAGAAGCCAGCATCTAACTAAACAACAAAAACTATACGCTGTCATTATTTTTAAAATCTCCCAGTCATACACAATACAAGTCCCCTTTAATTTAGGACAAAGTAGTTCCCACTTTCATATTTTAATTTCAACTATGTTTCAGTAAAGGACACATTAATGCATCTAGTAACCATTCAACTGAGAATCGAAATAACCCTAAGAAAAGAATGAATGAGATTTGAAATAAGAAGCAGAGGCAGTGATTAGTCCTTAAAAGGGATTGTCAATATCAAAAAGCTTTACAACTGAATCATCTTGAACAACTACTGCTGAAACTTTCCCCCAAAAAGTTTATAAAAATTCAGTGTTGGTCAAAAGATAAAGGAGACAAAACTTGTAATCACCAATTCCTTGGGCTTTGGAGCATCATCTACTTGCAAGGTATAGTAATAACAATCCTCCAAAAAAAGACAGAAATTGGCCCGCTTGTATCCCCGTTGAAACAGTCTGAAGTAGCACAGTAAGGGAGGGGTATTCAAATAAGGCATCCTACTACACCCGGTTCAATTCATTTCATACGAAATTAATTCCAAATATCTCAACAAATCTTCAAGGAATTAATTTGGTTCACTAAATTAACAAATCTCCTTTACTATATACCAGCCACAAACATTTTACTTATAATCTTTTCATTTATACCTCAAAATTATGTAGATTCACATATGAACAGATATAGCCTTCCACAATTATGCATTCATTTACTGTGATGAAGGGATAGGGGAGGAGGCGACTCCCGACATAAGTATAGTTTATATCCATTTTTTATTAATATAGTTTATAGCCATATTTATCACATGACTACTTTAGGGACTGAATGACTCCTTAAGGTTCCAAGTGAGATCTCTTCCCTGTGTATTTGGGGCTCTTTGGGATCATTCGTACCAACTTACCGCTGCTTCATGGGACGGCGGGCATTGTAGACTGATATCCACTGGGTAGCAGGACTACCTAGCCGTATTTTCTTCTTAGGTTGCTCATCTTCTTCCAAATTTATAAGCAATCTTCCACGCTTTTGCCCGACCTGATCTTGCAAAAGACAATAGAAAAAATAAGATACCAAGAATCTTACAAAAATTTTAAAACAGACAATCACAGCAACAACCTTGAGGGCACCATCAATTCGAATTGGTCTCAGTGACGTGCATGGCTCAATCAGACTCTCAAAAAAGGATATCAGTTTGGCGTAATTTGGTTCCTCATCAAATTTCATATTTGTCACAGATTCAAGGAACTGTTTGAATGGGGCAGGACAAAAGCAACACATCAATTCCGGAGAAGTACCCATTTTCTTTTTAGAAACAAGAAAACTCTTGTTGTCTCCCTGTATTATTCAAAACAAAAAGGAAAGATTTAATGATGTAAAAATTAATCAGCTGATGTGAATCCTCAACATGGACACATAGAAGCAATAATGCTAACTCACCTGATAACCCTGCCATGGTAATCTTCCTTTAATGAGAAATATCAATGTATAAGCTAATGACTCAAGATCATCCCTTCTACTTCCTGTCCGACCTAAATGTGCATGGACACTTGCATATCTTATCGTGCCCCTGTCATAGAAGCTTCTTAGTGCATGTTAACCAAACGTAATTTAAATAACACAAGAAGTATAATAACCTGAATATATCAGGCCGCTGATCATACTCAACATGTTGTCCGGATGATGCATCCTTCCATTTAGATGCTGAATCAACACTAACTTATTAGTGGCACTAGCAATAATAAGTTAATATGACATGGTATTTCGTTGAAAATATTGAAAAAATATCATACACCATAGGGATGGTTATGGAGTGATAAATACAGAAAACACTAAGGGAGTACAACATACCCAAACCAAGATCAATAAGATATAGTTTCTTCTCATCAGCGGATCCAGGTTGACCAAGTAAAAAATTCTCTGGCTTCACATCTCCATGCACAAACCTTGTTATGGGAAAGAAAATCACAAGTTAAATAAATTGTAAGACTACAACAACTAACTCTTTGAAGCAATGACTTTGTGGCAAGTTGCAAGCACACAAGGGGCGGAATTTAAAAAAGGTGGAATAACATCAATTATGAATAGGACTTACCCCTTCAAGTGAAGCTTTTCAAGTATTGATATTGCCTCCACCGCAATGCAAGCGACCATATTTGGCGACATCCTGTCAGGGGTATATCCAAACAACTATATCATGCAACCATGAGAAGCAAATACATCACACGAGTGTTACAGAAAACCAATTGTGTGTGAGTGTGTGTGTGTGCATGCGTGTATGTGTGTGTGTGTGTGTGTGTGTGTGTGAGAGAGAGAGAGAGAGAGAGAGAGAGAGAGAGAGATTCTCTATCTTACGACTGGCCTAATGAATTCCAGACGTCCCAAAGGCTCGGCCCAAGCATGTCCATGACCTGAAACATTTTATTTTAATCACCTTCACACACAATGATCATACTTGGAATTTGCGATGAAAATATTCCAAAGCAAACCTCACCAGAATGTAAAAATCTCCCTGGCGACCTTTGTAGTGAACCCATGGAATCCCATAACACCCGTTCAGAGTACTTTAATAAGAAAACCAGGAATTAGATAATGCATTTAATACATCCAAAGTTAGAAGAAATATAACTCAATATACACGTGACATGTAGGCATGGTGCTTACTTGTAAACTTGCCACTCATACGGAGGCCCATAATTGCAGCCTTTACTATTCCGGTGCTCAAACTTCACAGCAACCTGTAAAAGAAGATCTTATTGCAACATTTTGAAATGAAAAGATTAGTGGAAACCTCAATCGTAGTATTTTCTATTGAATTACCTCAAGTGCATCTGGTCCTGTTCTTCCACTGCCACCAGTTACCCTTCTGCCAACATAAACTTGGCCAAAACCACCCTTACCCAACTTCCTTTCTATCTTATATACAGGAGAATTACCTACTTGTACCTGCAACCAATAACAGCTCTTCCTTACAAAATTTCTCAATGAAGGTCAACTAAACTACCCGAAAACATCTTAAAAAGAAATATAAAATGGCAGCAGCCGAAGAAATAATATGGGCATAATGGTTGTATTAGGGTTCCGTTATTGATATGGATCATAATACGTCCATCCATCTTAAATTCATCATAAATGATATATCCAAAAGTAGAAACATTACAAAAATGAACAGCGATCAAACAGAAAAATACCTTATCAGGTACGGGATTTGTGTTTGTTTCTTCTTCAACGCCCAACATTTTATCCGCACTTCCACCCTCCATTGCAATCTCTCTATCTGCAACAACCTCTATTCTATTAAAAACTGGTTCTCCGGCCCCTATAGCAACAGCTTCGGGAGGACCTTCACAAGGAGGATCCGGGTCTAGATCTATCAACCTAATCCCCCTTCCTCTACCAGCAGTACTTGGCCTCACAGGTGTCGCTGCTGAAGGACCTTTTGCTACCGTTGCATTACCACCCCTTCCTCTTCCTCCACCAACCCTCCTCCTGGTTCTGTTTTGAGCAGGCAAGGCCAAATTTTCCACTTGATCGATTGGTTGAGGAGAAGGCTGCAGATCACCAAGCCTTTTTGATCTCCGTGCTCCGCTTCGTAGCTCTGGCATCGTCAACCCATACAAATCACATCCCAATAAATCACCACAGTATGGCTTTGGGTATTCTGTAACCCAGATACAAAAAAGAAAAAAACAACAAAACGGGGAAAAACAAATAAATTACTACAACTGAACCAAAAAATAAAAAACATACAACATCAGAAGCCCTGGCAGTGACAAAGTGAGTCTTATCCACCAAAAAAGAGGAGAAAATATCAATTTAACACACAGTTTCCAACGCATAGAAGATCCTTCCAAATAAGAAAGAAAGATTGCGAACTAACAAAGCAATTGATGTTAAAGAAGATAAACTGTTTTAGGCAAAATCTACGCAGATACATCTACAGATTCTATGTTCTATGCTTCCAAGATTTTGTTATGTCCACACAAAGTAACATGAAAGCGAATGTAGCTAAAACAGAAACAAGCATTAATCTATTTATTTATAAGCAGCAATTAACAAAGCCAAAGATGATTTTAAGACTACATAAATCCGATCGACTAATTACAATCAAGCAATGATAAATTCAAATCAGATGTAAAACCAAACCATAAATCTAATCCGATCATCGTTAACTCATAAAAAAAGTTGTCAAACTGTATAAAGCAAGAGAAAAATCATCGTGCATTGAACAAAATACAACTGACCTATCAGATCGTACCTTGAATACTGCAAAACAAGAACGATCGGAGATAAAAAAAGTAGAAGAATCGATCAAAAAAATAAAACTGACTTATCAGATCGTACCTTGAATACTGTAAACAAGAACGATCGGAGAGAAAGAAAGAAAGAAAAAAAAAAGTAGAAGAATCGATAGGCTCAGATTCGAGTCGGTGAGTCGATCGGGGTCCGATCTTCAGTGAAAAGATATGGTGACATTTTCAGTTGTGGAGATTCAGCGAGGGTTTCGAGAATGATAAATTTAGGTGGAGATTTGGGGAAAGTGTATGTGTGTTTCTTTGTTTTGGTTCCTCTCTCTCTCTCTCTCTCTCTCTATAGATTAGATGTAGATAGATATATGTTTTTATCTATCTATATATCTCTGTCTCTTTCTCTCTCCATGTATGTAAATGTATATGTGTGCCTCTCTGGTTTTGCGAAAACTCTTCTGTTTTATACGAAAAAACTTCACGCATGCAATATGTGGCCTTGTAATTAACCAAACAAACCCATATATTTATACGTTTCATTTTTTCTTTTCTTTTTTTTGTTCTCCCTCTATTTTAATCCGGCTGCTGTCATTACATTACCATCCGAACTAGGTTAAGAATTTTAAATAAATTATTATATTAAATATTATGTATCGATGCGGGTCTCATATCATATATGTATTATACTTGTGCCAGTACATGTAAAATACAAATAATTAACACCTTCTTTTATTATTATTATAAATCATATTATAAATTATTTTATAAGTTAATAAGTGGTTGGCATACACTAAAAAATATATTTATATATATATATATATATATATACTTATTTGAGTCACATCAATCAATATCTGCTCTTTATTTTTTTATAAATTTTCTCTACTTTTCTATATATTTTTTTATAAAAAATTAAAAAATATATTTATTTAGGATATCTCAAACCACCTCTTTATATATAAAATAATAATCAAATCAAATATAATAGTTATTTATTTACAATATATATTTTCGTAATAATTAAAATAAATAACAATTTACTTTTGGCTTTTTAAAAAAATAAGCTTTTTGTTAAATAGGCAACAATTGGAAATATACAAACTTGTTCAATTAAAAAAACAAATAAATAAATATATAAGAGCATATCTAACCAACATTTAAACGCACTTTTTCATTATTTTGAAGAGCCAAGATCTAAAAGCATAAATCAACAAATACCCTAAATCTCTCCCTATTTTGAGGGGTGTAATTTATCTCCCTACATTAACCATTCACTTTTTATTTATTTATATGCGATATTATAATGGAACTCAACGAATTACAATAATAATGCCGAATATCAAATATAAAATATAATCGACACAAAAAAAAAAATGAGAGAGAAATTTTAATAAATACATCGAGAATATATTAACCATTCACTAAACATTAAAAAATAAAAAATAAAAATCCTCATCCCCTCTATCTCCCAAACATAAAATATTATGTTTTCTCACTATATTTTTTCAAATAAACAAACAACCAAAGAGTATGGAACATTTTGTTAAAAATGATAATTGAAAAATGACTCTCTAATATGCAAATTTACATTTCGCCCAAATTGGAGGTAAAATAAAGGATCCTTAATATAAATTCTTTGAATTAATATCAAATTCAACACTAAATTTGTTTATATTTTTTTAAGTCAAAATATTTTATATAATTTTTGTTTACTATTTATGCGGTAAAAATATCTTAAATAATTTAACACGAAAAATATATTGATTATCTTATACTTTAAAATTATATTTATAAATTATTGAGATTTGATTTGAAATAAATTATACCAAACAAATTCATTGTCTAGCGAGTCAATATCAATGTAAATTATAAAACACCAAATCACTTACAATGGATGTTGTCAACATCGTGGAACTAGTAACCAGTAGCTGTACAATATATGAATTTTTTTCCTTTTTGTTAAATGGAAAATGGCTCATACACTCACTGGGGGTCGACCCCCCAGTGAGGTGGCAGTCCATAATTGGATCAAAAAAAATTATTTTTTTTTTTTTTTTTTTTTTTTTGGGTTTCGGCTAGTGAGGGCGCGACACCTCACTGGGGTGCGACCCCCACTGGGGATATGTATCACGGTTGTTGTTAAATATATGATGCATGATGAATTAGACAGATCAGTTTTTATTTTTCTTTGAGGATTTAGACTAATGATTTAAGTATTTGTGTTTGAAGTTCTGTAGTGATTAATATAAATCATGTGAAATTTGTTGCTCGGAATATTATCAAAATGGCACTTAATTAGTAGGGTTAGAGTGAAAATAGGCCTAACAAGGTGAAAATAAATGTGCAGAACATATTTATTAATTGGGGATAAGATGGAGCGCAAATGAATTTCACCAACATCTATTTACAAACTATAAATCACTGCTGATTCATTAATTACCCATATTTTTATGATGCCGCCATTCCCTCACTTACCTTTTTTTTTTTTTATCTTGCTTTTAACAATGGCGAAAAATAAGGGTAGGGGTTGATCAATGCCGACGTTAACACCTGCAACATTTGTTGGCAACTTCCCGCCTATCTCACAGCCAAATAGCATTCATCACCAACGTCGAACTTGCCCTGAAACATGGCCGACCGCTTCTCAGCAATTTCGGCGCCAATCCATCACGCATTCCTTCCGCATAACAACTTTCATTCGAGAGCACTAGCGCACGGATTCCACTTCAACATTTTGTTATCCACTTCCCTTCAGCAATGTTGGCCAAAATTCAATTTGAATTCATTTCGACTAACATCTCTCATTCGAAAGTAATGGGACAAATATACGTTCTACAAAAATGCAACAGAAGCAGTTTAAAAAATTTGTTTCAATCTACTTCCAATATCCACTTAGCAATTCCTTACAACGGAGCAATGTTATTTTTTAATGCTCTACCCTTGGTGTTATTTTTCAACTTTCCATTTATTTGTAATTAACAAGTCTACATCATTTGGTACAGGTAATCAATGACACGTGATATACTGTGTGAGTGAATTTCTGACCACACTGTCAAACTAGTATTCAACTGGAGAGTACTGGCAGAATAGATTAAGCCCGAACGACCTGTCAACAAAAAGAAGAGTTTCCGGTGGTGGTTCGTCCACCCAGGGGCACTCCGACGATCAAGTCAGTTATCTCTCAAAAATAGTAAAATTGCTTAACTTACTATTCAAAATATAAAAAGTGTATCTTAGACCCATGAGGGTGCCTCTCTTTTGTAGCTAACACAAACGTAGTCCTAATGGATTCTAATTACTGCTAATCTTAGACTCCCAGTAGGATTGGGATAAAACTCTCTAAAAGTCTTATCTTTATCCAAACTGCAGTCTTTTCTCATTCTAGCACTCTTGTCCCTTATCCGCTTATCCCGGATTTTGATATCTTCGGAGATAACCTCGGACTATCCGAGATCACCCCGGCGTTATGATCAGGACACGTAGCACCTCGGCTGACACTTCAGCGTCACCTTGGCCACGTGTTGGCTCTCGAAAAATATGTCCCCACAACTGCCCCCTAGGTTCAATTACCTCGACATCCTGAGGTGATGGAACCTATCTCTGCAAACCGTCTAGCACGTCGGCTAAACTGGCTCTATCTTTCATTACCGAGGTCATAATTCGTCGGCTTCACACGACCAAGACCTGTATTCTGTCTCATCAAGGCCTTAGAGCCAATAACCTAGTTTGTTCAAGTTATTTTAGCCGAGATATTCCTACTAGCCGAGGTCATTGCTTCATTAGATCAAGAACTCCAAGAGTTTTATTACGCGCATGAGCTGTTACGCACAACATTTCAACCGTTTCTACCACACGTCAATCCCCTACTAGACCGTGTCTGATATGCACCATTAAGTCGCCTCACACCTGCGTGCGCCGTCTAACAAATACGTCGTTCTAGGCACATCAATTGCATTTTGTCGCCTTTTCGCATTTTTGACAAAACTTATTCCCTCTCTCTTCGTCTTTTCATTTCACATCATCGTCTTTGTTCAATCTCTCTCTCTCTTACCTTCTCAATTTCCCCATTGTTGCTTCTGTCAAGTTTTTTCTGCAACCAGTCTCATTCTCCCCTCCGGCTAGGCTTCTGCTGCATTTTCTTACTTTCGGCCACTGCCTGATCCCGGCGAAATTTACTTCGGCTTTATTTCTCTTCGGTGAGTCACTGTTCCTTTCTTTGATTCAATTTCTTGTTTCACTTTATACCGTTACGTTTGTAAATCGCCACTGTGATTGTATTCATGTTCTTGGATCTTCATTTGCGTTTGTAATTTCGACCCACGTATTGAGTATATTTGTTCCATGGTTCCGTTTTGCTCAATCCACTTCTAAAATATATACATATTGCTCACACATTTGTTGATTTTTGCCACTATTCTTGGCCTTACACACCTGTGCGAACTTTTGTCTTGTGTTTCTTGATGGTTTTATCACCATTCTCGATTCTGAAGCACGTTCTTTGTTTTCTGTGTCTTTTCCAGATTCTTGCCTTCAACCTTTGTTTCCATAGATCTAGGTTTGGGATTTGTTCATAGAACCCACAATTTTTAGGAAAAACTGAAACGAATTCCCCTTAGATCCCCACAAATTCTTACCCCAGCACCTATTTAGGTTTTAGCCGAGGTCCTTCAAAACCTTTTCAAAAACACTTCTTTCTGAAAATCTTACACCCTCCCCCTAAGCCGATATCATGGATACGTGGAAGCATAGGGTAGATACCCCAACCAAGTTGGAATATTTTAGACAAGAGTTTTCCATCCCAGCCAACGTCCATCTGAGGTTAGCTGGGAAGGATGACTCCATCATGCCTACAATCGATTCTATGCCCTTCCCCGTTGTAGCTTTCACTGAGTGTAGACTTAGGCTCCCACTCGACATCCTTTTTCGAGAAATCCTTATTACTATAAATTGAACCCAATGTAGCTTGCCATCAACTCTTACCGAGTTATCAACGGTATAATAGCCTTAGCCAAACAAGAGAATGCTAGGGTAACTTTAGCCGATATCCAGTATTGTTACACCATGTGTGGCCTTAAATTAGAAAAAGGCTACATCTGCTACCTTAAACCGAGATCCACTGAATACAAAATTGTTACTGACGTCCCAGACTCCAATAAGGGAGCTGCGGACGATTGCTTCATTGTCTCGGGGAACTGGGAGTTCGCTCCAGATGAGAACCTCTACCTCTACCTTTAAGCCGAACAGTTTTCGTAGAGAGTAATTGTAAGAGCCAAGTGTTTATACTTACTTGTTTTCAAAGTCTTCAATACTTTGTTCTTTTTATACGTCTTAACGTTTGTTTGTCTTACAGCTCTTCCCCAACCGGCAAAAGACTTCCGTAAGTCCTTCTTCCTGAGCAAGGGTTTGAAGAAGCTATTAGATCTGTCAATTCACAAGCAGAGAGCCCCTTTGCTGCTCAA